GGTCATTCCAGCCCAGCAAAGTGTGATAGAACACTCCTTTGCTACACATTTAGGAATAAGGTGATGCCTTTATTCAGCCATTAAGAATGTAAACACACACACACACACACACACACACACACAAAACAGTGAGCTTCCAGCGATAAAACTTATTTTTCAAGGCTGTGCATCAAGTTCTTGCGGGTATTTCCAAAACAATGGCTCCTTTGCTACGCTTTCCTTCCTGAGCACAAAATGGTATGCAAGAGGGAACGATAAGTCATAAGAACGCCTCTGTTGTTTCTACATATCTTATGAGAAGGTATTGCCCTCGAAAGGTACACGGATTTAGGTTTGTAAATGTTTAAAGAGTAGATCCACATTCGGAAAAGGTGTCTCAAGGGAAGGAGACCCACCACATCAGCTGACCTGGAAGCAGAGTATGAGAAAGTTAACTTATTTTTCCCGATTCACAGAATTTCCCAGTCTCCATAGCCACTCCCTGTGCTGGCCCAGACATTCTGGGAGGTAGCTAAACAAAGTAATAGTTTTAACTGAACAATTCTGAAGAGAGGGTAGCCAGCCACCTATAATTTCCCGACATCATTTTTTAAAAAAAAAAAATCCCCTGAAAACAATGGGGACTTCTTGAGAATCCTGATTATAATCCTCTTAGTGGACTTGTTTCAGCCTGTTTCATTTACAGGGGTGCCTGTGGTTCTGTGTTATGATGTGGAGGGGGGGGCAGCTGTTCAGGATATGGAGGCCTCAATTCAGGTCCCCTGTTCTATCTAATTCATTTTCTGTGTCCCATCATGGTCAACCGGCAGCATCCTGTATCCAGTGAGCATGTTCATTTCTCATTGAGCTCTTTGGAAGGGGGATTCCCTTCTTAGTTTTCAAATAAAACGCCCATGCAAAACTTGGATTCCCCTTGCCTGGCTGATACGGCCCCTCCCCATGACGGCCTGGTATCGTGTTGCTACGTAAGGATAAGCAGTCAGGAAAGCGACTCTTCTCTCTGTATGTATCTATAGCTGTATATAGACATATCCATGAGCCCTGTTTCTATATGTGTGTTGCACTGAACATCTTTGGGAGATTCAAAAAAATAACGTACCTTAACCCGTGAGTGCAGCCATACCGCCTACGGTAGCTTGCCTCCATGTGTGTTATAAATATACACACATTTATGAAAGTGACACACAGCGGAGAAAATGAAAGCAGCCCAATACCACTGTACTATGTTAGTGAGACTTTCCGCTCACTAGAAGCTCAATGGGATACTGCCCAGTTTAATCAACAGTCTCCTGCTTTTCTGAAATACTTGGGAATTCCTGGCTCCTCTAAGGGGTAAGACTGGGCTTGCCTCCACCTCCTCCCCATCTGTGCATCCAATACAGTACTAATGTCTGCAGGGAGACCACCTAAGCTGATGCTGCTATATGCACACAGGCTTCTTCCTTGCATTGCACATAAAGATGCAGGAGTCACAGGCACAGCCTTAGCACTGTAGCCTCCTCGCTTACACATTTATTTAAGATACTTTTTGAATATGCGAGTAGGACTTCAGTCTTTGCCAGAAAACAAAGAAGCCTTGTAATGAGGATGCTTGGATTGTTCTTTTTTTGGGGGGGGGCACAGTTTTATAACCAACTCATTATGAATAATTCAGGGAGAAGAGAAAAATCACGTATGGTACAAAATACCGTAGAAAGTTACAATCCCCACCGCATTCTTTCCCAAACTGATGTTCCTTCCAAGTAAGTATATCAAGAATTAAGATAATTAAAGCACAAATACATGGAAATGCTTATATGCTGAGCTGGATGACTAACAAACTTAAGAGATCCAGATTGCTGGTTGTGTTGTCTACTATGCTCTAATAAGCATAAATTAGATTGGGGAATATGCATTTTCATAAACACAATTCCATAGTAGAATTTTCCATACTATTATGTACATTTCTATGTTATTCAGTCTAAACATGGCACTTTTGTACATGTTTTGTCCTGGAGAAATAACTTTATTCTGTTCTTTACCGTTCCTTTATTGTGTCCTTCACAGTTTCTATCTGCATTGCAGCAATACCCAGATCTGTCTCCTGTTTTTTCTTTTTTCCCTTTTTGCTACTGGAGGGCAGAAGAGTGCTGTGTGAAATCAATTTCAAGCAAAATTGACAATGCAGATGTTTGCTTTTCACTGTGCAGTGTGATGGGGCCTGTCACACTGATTCTCTGAAATTAAAGTCAATTAAGATTTTAGTGAGTTCCTAAGAACAGGGGGAAATGATTCACTGTAAAGATGGGGAAAAGTTGAGGGGAGAGATTAAGGAAAAGAGAAAAAGAATGGGAAAAAGAGAGTAAGAATATTTTTTTGGAAGTGAGGTCTCATTGTTAGCCTAGCTGAGCAAAGCATCTTGGCATCAAGACTCCCTGGAAGGTAAATGCTGAACATTATATGTGAATTTCTTTACAATTGAAAAGGCCCTCTACAATTGCACTTACAGTATTTGCATCTAGAACCCTAAAATTGTATAACATACACAAACAGTGATTTCTTTCTGGTTTAAAAAAAAACTCCATGTCCACTTTTCAGTCTCGTTTTGTAAACTCTGCTGAAGATTCATAACATAATCACAGAAAGAATTAGAAGCTCGTTTACAGCTGACAAAGTCTGCCTGAGTCATAGATATGGCTCAGTTTAAACACAACATCACAGGGAGTGATTTAACAAGGCAGGGAGGAGTCGTACCCCAGGGGTGTAACCAACTCAGACTGTGTCTACCACAGCACAGGGCACTGAGGATGACAGACACCTTGCCCGTAACCCTGTGGTATCCCTGCCAGTAAGCAAAGGGAGGCAATGAAGTTTGGAGTGCTCTACCAGTCTTGGGTTGAACCCCAGTTCCTTTAGGTGTCACCATATTGTCTGTGGATGTCTTTTTGGGGATCCTTTGCACCTTGATGAACACACAGCTCATTGTAATCAGTAGCACAGAAGCTAGTGGCAATTTAACAAGCTTAGATTGTACCAAGTAATTACTGTAGATATATTTCATCTATAAGAACAGTAAACACCAAGTAATTAGATATATTTCATCTATAAGAACAGTAAAGATGTTATAAGTATAGCCCTTATAGGCCAATAATGTGGTGAGAAAAATCACCAAAATATGGAAAAGTTATGACACAATTTCCTAGTCAAAAAGTACTTATAGAAGTGGATTGCAACCCATAAAGGGTTATATTAAAATAGTCTCTACCTCTTTCTTTCTCTCTCTCTCTCTCTCTCTCTCTCATTCTCTCTCCCCCCACCACATTTTTATATTGAAAACAGCTAACATGGCAGCTGGTGTACTGTTGTTATTATGTGCTGTCAAGTCAATGAATGAGTAACCTCCAAAATGCCCTGTCCTCAGCAGCCCCTCTCAGCTTTTGCAAAGTCAAGGCTGTGGCTTTCTTTAGGCAGTCAATGAATCTCATATTTGATTTTTCCTCTTCTCCTGTTGCCTTCAACTGTTTTCCTAAAATGGCCACCTCTTTGAAATTAATTTAGAAAGAGTGCATAACTTTTTGTGCAGGTGGATTGCACATGGTTTAGTTGCACATGCACAGCAATACACACATGCATGATATCACATATGATGATGATCTAGACACAAGTTGCACACAATTTTCTGCACAGAGTCATTTTTGCTTTAGGAGCTTTATCATATTTTAAGTAGTTCACACAGCTTGCCGATGAATAATAGTCTCCAGGCTAAAGTCAAAATTACTAGAAAAATAGACCTCTTGAAATGAAGGGGGCTTGTTAGTCACAATTATCTGAAGTACCATTAATGTCAATGGGTCTACTGTAGCTGGGGCTAATTTTGGATTTCATCTGCTTTTGAGAAATTAATTATTTGATGGATATAATACAGCAAAAATGATTTGTGACTACAGTAATTTCCAGTGAAAGCCACAGGCCTTTGCTGAATCACAAAATAAATCCTGTGCTCTTCCCTCTGGTGAGACTAAGGCTCATTTGTTATGGATTACGCTTGAATTACTGTGTTGTTCATGTGCCTCTTCTCTCTGTTAGTAGAAGGCAAAATGAAGATCTTCCCTTTGCTGGTTGCTACACATTTGCTCCAATGGCCAATTAAAAATCTGTTCTGTATTACAGAGGAGTAAATGCTTACAGACTGAAATCAGCTAGAACAAACCATTCCACATTACGAAAACAACAGAATTTGCCACGTTTAAAAAACCTCTTAACTCTCAGAATCCCACAGCCCACTTAACCACTGGACTCTTGGAATTGTAGTCTGGAAAAAGAAACTTTTCCAAGCTCTGAAACAACCAGCTTGGGCAAATTTGACAATATTAGATAACAGAAAGATCTTTTCTAAACACTATTCAAAATTTAATCTTCTAAATTAGAGATATACAAATAATTCAGGTGGAAATAGATTTGCATTTAAAAGATTCTATTTACCTGCCCCCCAACACACACTGAAGCTATTGTAGGATATCCAGAAAGAAGCAAATATTTAACTAGGCATACGTATTTTTCTGCTAATATAAAGAATAGGCATAATTAACAGACATTATTAAAATATATATAGGGATTTGTGGGCATTTAAAAAAAGAAACCCACTAATCATGATTACAAAACATACCAAAACAGAAGATATTTGGTCAGCTATTATTATTATTACTTGCAATGACTTTTCCCCCCATGATCAAGGCAAATCATGATCTATACATCCTGTCAGAACCAGCACTGCAGCAATCGGTTTCTAACTCAGAACAAGTCCTGGGAATTTCTTCTCTGTTGCCTTCCAAGAAAGAAGGAATAGCCTTCTAAACTGCCACCGTACAACACCCGATGCTCCTCTAGAAAGAGTCTGTAGAGCAAAGTCTTGTTTCAAGCAGATCCCCTGTTGTCCCAAGGCACGTTTTTTTCCTGAGATGGGGAGAGAGGGGGGCACCCCTCTGTCCTTCCTCCCATGAGGATGCCTCTCCCGACGGCCTTCAGGGCATCTGAACTGGTTTGACATTGTTCAGCAGGTCTGTGAGGTCGCTGATGTACTTGATGGTGCCTTTCAGGGTCTGTATCTTGGTGAGGGGTTGGCCCCTTTGGCTGTAGACGGGAGGCAGGTAGTTGCGCAGCGTGTGGAGCGCCTCCGCCAGGGTCCTCATCCTCAGCTTCTCCCTTTCGCTGGCCTTCCTCCGGCGCTGAACGGACATCCTGACTTTGGAGCTCTTTGGACCTTTTCCTTGTCCAGGGCTTGGGAGACGCATGGAAGGCAACTCCATCAAGGGGTAGCCCCTCAAGCTGCTGCCACCGTCACCCCTGTTGCCATGGCTACTGTTGGTACAGGTCATCTCCACAACCAGGGGGTAGGGGGAAGAGGCAAAGGATTCAAAAGAAGGGGACGGAGACAGGCTCTGTGGGGAGGAATTCTGGCTGAGCTCCAGAGGCCCCGGGGGCCCCTTCCAGTCCCACGAAGGAAAGAAGGGAGTGTTTGGAGAACCCACACTGCCCTGCATCCTCGGGCCCACGGGTCTCTCTGAAGGGGCCTTCCTCAATGCTAAGGACGGCAAAGGAGAGGGAAAGAGGAGTGATAATTTCCTCTCAGCCGCCTGCAAGCCAAGTCTGTGGTCTCTGTCTAGGGAGACCCTTTTATGACCGGGGGGGGGGGAGAGAAGAAGTGACAAAATGGGAAGCTGTCTTGAGGGTGTGAGGAATTCAAAGGAATGTCAGCATCGAGATGGAAAATGCACTCCTGGCAGTGTTACCTTCCTCTTGATGATAATTATCAACCTTTAGCTAAAGCCCATTTCAGCCAACTAACAGGCAACAGTGAATGGGGATGGGGGTGAGGAGAGAGATTATCATTGTGCAGCAAAACCCATTGGATGTTTCTTATCTCCATTTTAATAGTGCCTCGGAAAGTTACTGGCAGGAAACAGGGAGAAAAAAGCTAAAGGTTCCATCTTGAGTTTTGCACTGTTTCTGAGTGCAGACTTTCTGAATATTTAAATATTCGCCGGGGGGTGGGGAGGACTAAGAAGGAAACAAACTCTTCATGTTGTTTATATTCTTATATAACCAGAACGTGGAAACATGTGGCCTTGTAAGGACCTGCAGAAATGTGTACACAGGAGAGAGAGATAGTATAGGTGTCTTGCCCAAAGTACTTTCCCTCTGTTGTTCTACATTTGTTGAACCCACTTTTGCTGCTTTTCTTTTGAATTGCTTTTTCCTGAAGGGTTTCTGCAGCTTCAGATTTGAAATGCTTGAGTTTTAGCTAGTCCAGAAGATTGTGTGGGAGGCCCCGATGTTGCCTAATGTTCCTTCGGTCAAAGGCTGTTTCTATGGAGCTCTGATGCTGTGTTTTGTGCTTGTTTCATGGTCGTAGTTCTTGTTTTAAATCTTGTCAGTCTCAGTGGCCAGAATCCTGTTTGGGATTTGTGGCAGCATAGGAGTGGCAGCATTAATCACAGCAGCAAATTGCCAATTAAGGAGTGACCACTCACATTCCTGGTAGCGCACCAAGTCACTTACTCAGCACATGTCCAGGACTGCAAGCAGCAATCTTTTAATTAGAAGCAATTTACTGCTATAATTTATGCATTTACATTTATCCTGGTGCAAATCTCCAGTAGGATTCTGTATATCTGTTTTAAAGAGTTTTATTAAGATAGTGTCTAAGTCACGCTGACCACGTGACCACGGAAACGGTCTATGGACAAACTCTGGCTCTATGGCTTGGAGACAGGGATGAGCACCACCCCCTAGAGTCAAGCACGACTGGACTAAATGTCAAGGGCAACCTTTACCTTTATGGTGTAAAAGACATTTACTCAATTTATCCCTCCCCCTTCAAGGAAAATAGGGCAAGGAGCTAGTAGATAGACGCTGATCCATTAAGGGTGGATAGGGTACATCTCAGGTCCTTGCTATCTTCAGCCAGGATGTTTTTGCCTGTCCTTGTACTAGACATGGAGGGTCAAGGCTCTGCCTGTATTTCCCTTCTGCTGAACTCTCCCTGTTACACTCTGGGGAGAGCGAGAAGGAAGCAACACTAGACAGAGACATTTCAAATGGCATTTTTCAGCTTCTCTGCTGAGTTGTAAAGTGAATGAATGAATGAATGGTGGGAGTAAAGCAGTGTCTGAGTGTATGTGTGGGAGAGAAGGGGAGGAGAGAGTGCACCAGCTTTTGCTACTGATTCTCCTATACCTTTTGGCTCTGAAAACTTGGTTGTGGTGCCTTCCATCCATTGAGTGCAGCGATCACCAGCTACCACCAGGACAGGCAGGACTTGGCTTTCCCCGGATACTCCCCTTTGCAAATAGCCCTCCAAACATGTTTCTGAAGGCCGGGGAACCCTTCTGGAGCAGTTTTTCAGGAGCAGAGGGCTAAGTTGTGCTTTAGAGACAACAGGTCGTTCTAGCTGAAACGTTGTTAAATGTTCCGGGGACAGGATTCCAACTGACCTTCATGTCTGAGAAATTTAGGTTTATGCCCCAATGACTAATCACAAAACAAAGCAGGTCAGTTTCCAAACTAGTGGGTGGAAGGTGTGAAAAGTGACGGTGGTGGCTGTCAGATGCTTTCAGCAGTTCTGTTAAGCGACATGCTCTGTGGAAGGTATCGTTTTACTCAAAGAGTGTCAAATGAATGGAGAGGAAGAGAAAATGTTCAGTCATACCATTAGGCAGGCTATGAGCAGGAATCTATTCTGTTGTGCCTCTCCTTCTGCCTCTGTACTCATGAAGGTCAGATACATATAGCACTAAGAAGCATGGCTGCCCTAAAAATTCTGGCCATTTGAAAAACAGAGCAGAAATATAGTCAAATTAATCAGGAAACCAACATCTGTTAACACAAAACTTTTGCTGTCATGGGACAGAATGATGCTGCAACCTGATCTTTATGCTTCGTTCATTTCATACATTTATCAATGCAATAATAATGATTACAATATGGAAAGAGAAACAACCAAATTTAAAGATTATAATTTTGATCTATCTTGAAATCAGGCCGGATTAAGACCTTTAGAGGTCCTAAGCACTGAAAAGATGATGGTGGTAGCCCCTACAAATATAACACACAGTAGGTCCTACAGCTTGAAAAAAAACTACATAGCACATATATTATATACATGACAATACAGTAATTTAATTGTATAGTATGTGTGGGGGGGAAGAGCCAAGTATTGTATGCAAAATCATACATGCATTCAAATTATTGGCTTCCAGTAACAAACTGAAAAGCTCAAACAAGAGCTTAAAGCCTCTTTTGGGGTGTTTTTAACAGTGGCTGTTGTGTTTTTTGGCTTGAACGTTTAGTGCAGAGACCATGGGTCTAAAAGACTGTTGTTGTTTCTTTGGCTTGCACGTGTAGCGCAGAGGCCATGGGTCTGAAAGACCAGCAGCTCTTTTTATCCTTATCCCCACCCAACCTACCAAAACATGGAAGTCAAATAAATAAATAAAAACAAGCACCAAGCAAGGATGAGGATGAGGATGACTGATCATTTCATTCAAAACACAAGTTTTCTCTCTAGGTGAATCTTTATCCTTTTCAGTTTCTACTGGTTTATACTCAATGGCTTCAGGTAAGGAGGTGGTTTTCTTGGGACTCTTGAGAGAAGGAGGGAGGGAGGGAGAGAGAGTGCCGAGGGATTTGGATGGATGGATATGGTTTGTTAAGGAGGGTGCCCCATTTGCCTCATAGTCCATGGTAAACCCAGCACTGAAAAACACCTTTCTGGTGCCCCCTTCCCTTGTTGATGCCCTAAAGCACGTGCTTATTTTGCTTAAGGGTTCATCTGGGGCTCCTTGGTGTCCATTTCCTATACGTGAAATGCCTACTAGCCAGGTGATAAAATACAGCCACATTTCTAATCTTGAAGATAATAGGAATTTTTGTTCTCTTGTTTTCTTGTTTAAGCTATATTTGCCTACTATTTATATAGTGTGAGCAATGGCACATATTTAATGAATTTTTTATGAATTCTTTTTTTCCTATTGTGCACTTAAACAAAACATAATTAAAGTTCTAGGATCAAATTGTGCTGCTGAACAATAAAATTATTGATTTGAATATATGCTGATTAGCTTAAACGTTCTTCCAGAAACAACACATGCAAAAAAAGGGGCAGCTGCATAATTACATATCAACACTACGTTAATTGAATGCAATGAAGGACTGAGGGGGGACTATTGTCTGATGTGAGAAATTATGGGAGTGGAAAAGCAGGTTCTAGCCAAAGTTAAAGCACAACCTTACACAACAAAAACATGGGCTACAATCTTGTTGCTCAGCTGGCTACCTTTGGCAATTTCGAGGTCCATACAACTGATACACAATGTGACAAAACTGCATGCCCCCCCCAAAAAAAATCACCAAAAGAAACCATTAATTGGCAGCAATTTACCTCTGATGGAAGATGTCGTTTTCGCTGTGCACTCAGAGTTGTGCACCAGGATTGCAGCCATAAAGTGTTTCAGGTTTTGTTGTTATAGAAATGGACTAAAATGGCTACCTCTGTAAACATGTGGAATCCTGTATTTGCTCAGATGTAAGTCCCACTGAGTTCAGAGAGGCCTATTTCCCACATAACAATGTACCACCAAGCTGATTCTGATTTTTTTGCCAATTTTTTCCAAGGTTTTCTAAGTATGTACAGAGCACTCAGAAGTGGTTGGCCATTCTCTTCTTCTAGGGGTGGTCTGGGATTAGAAGTTTGCCCAAGACTACACAGACTGGCTTGTTCTCCTATCCAGTGAAGAACTGAATGTCTGGCCTCTGGGCCAACAGCAGGTACTCCAGCACACTGGGCTAAATCCAGCCTTAAGCACTTTTACCTTGCGTTCTTTCTGTGCAATCCTTTGTATGCGTACTTTGAAGTAAGTCCAACTAGGTTCAGTGGGACATCCTGACAGGTGAATATGCGTAGCCTTAAACCTGACTTGTTTTCGGCTGTCAATTCTAAACAAATCCTTGGATTTCCAATGGAACTTTAAAATGTTTAGCTTTGGCTGGCTTGTGCCTCCATTAAAAAGCAAATCAGCGTTCAACAGACAGGCTTTTTCCATAAGTGTTTTGTAATTATGGATTCAAAATGAATCTAGATGAAATTTATATGCAAAACCTGGCTACCAAATGGTGATTTAGATGGTAAGGGATGCTTCAGGCATCTAGCTAGTACACCTATGAAGTGGGGGCGGGGGGCGGAATTATGACATCTAGGCAAAAGGCAGTACGATGGCAGAGAATATCATTGACATCAAGGTATCAAGTTCAATGTTTGGTCTGTCCAGTCAGTGGGAAATAGCATTATCTACCATACATCAGGTGACAGATCCTTTGAAAGACAATTTCTCATTGACATACTGTAGGAAACGACCAGCACCTGGGCAACGTTTGGCCCTTTGGATGTAACTGGCCTGGAACGTCCACAAGCTTGAGCTAGGGCAGACGAGAGCTACAGTAGGTTCCAGGGAGTTGCAGCCCAATGACAACTTGAGCTAGGGCA